AGTGCACACCTCTCCAAGCAGCTCTAGGTTCCCAGGTTTGACATTCATTTTCCCCCGTCAGGTAACTGCTTCTGAAAATCATGGGCAGAAATCTAGACGCTAAAGGCGGTTATAAAGTAGAATGGGCTAGCAGTTTACTTAGGTTTAGAAGTATTTAATTGGTGGGTAAAATCATCTTGTTAATGCCACTTTTTAGGTTCCAAAGACTGTAGGGAAACTTAATGCTTTCTTAATTTGAATTTGCCAAAGTTTATTTGGGGAGACTCTTCTAAGATTGGGAATGGCCCCGAAAGCCATTATAAAAGCTCGTTTTAAAAAATTAAGTGTGTTTCTCTTCAGCTGTGCTCTTTGTAGCAACCCCCCTCCACACACACACACACACACACACACACACACACACACACACACACACACACACACACACACACACACACACACACACACACGCAATGCAGAGGAAGCATTTCAGGAATTTATACTGCGATCGGCAGAACTGCAGAATCCAGAACTTTTCCATTGTTTCTGTTGGAAGAAAAGCCTAGAGTCCTGTTTTAATACCATGAGCAACTTAAAACCAGACTCTTTCTTTTGTAATTTGCCTCCAGGATTAGACAGCTCTTGGTGAATTTAACTGCAGAAAGTGATTTGTAATTATGCCAGAGGAGCTTAGCAGAATTTTTTCTGTCAGGTAAATTTCAAAATTATTTTAAGTGAAAAAGAAATCTGTAGAAAACGGTCTGTTTCTCTCATAAAATCCACTGTCACAGCACCTTAGAGTTTCACACCAGTGGACATGGCCCTGGTGGCTTGTCTTCCCTTTGATCTCCCCTTTACCCCTTGGAACAGCCACCTCTGACCCTGTTACCCTCCCCTGGTGTGACACTGTTGGCTTTTATGGATGCCTCTGGTCATAGTGTTGGAGGCATTAGTCTCGTTCCGTCCTTGATTGTCCCCTCTGTAAAAACAGAGGCCTCCATTGGGATTTCCAGGTCTTTTAGCAAAACTAAGCAGCATGGCTGTCAAGTTACAACTACAGACGTGGTACAGCCCAAGCATGAGTATGCTACATTGCTCCTGACTTTGGCAGCTAACTACACTGTTAGAAATTAACTTGTTTTGTATGTGAGAACCTTGGTGCAGTAGATAACTGCTATTTTCCTTCTGTTTCACCTTGTTCCACTTCATCTTTGTGTGTGTATTTCTTCACTTTCTATTTATAAAGCTTTGTCCTGTCCTTCCTGCTTTTCTTTGTGGTCATTTCCATTTCACTTTCCTTGTGTTTCATTCCTGTATCTTTCTTGTCTAGACCAAGTGGAGCAGCCAGCTGGCAGTAGCGCCATGTAGGACCCTACAGGAACTCAATGGTAAGTGCACTCGTGTACTTGCCAGGCACCCAGCTGTTCCTCTTGCCTTGCTGACAGGAGCTGGGCAAGCCCCTTACCCTGTTGGAAGTCCCAATGGGTTTTTTTGTTTTTTCTTTTAATTTGATGGTGTATAGGATAGAAATCAAACACAGGAAGGAACTACTGATTTAAGAACATGTAGCAAGTTCCTGCACCTGACATTGAGACACCAGGCACATTTGTGAGCAGGACTCCTGATTTTCACTGCTGGTTCTGTCAAGGCTGATTTATGCCTCTGTGGCCCCAGCCTTCAGATTCTCCCACAAACTAGCAAGTAGGACAGGTAATTTTGATAAGCCTTGTATCTCTGGTCTAAGGCCCTAATAGAAAGTCCTTGAAGATGGTTCTGATTAAGATTGAGAAAATTTTTTGATGTATCAGATAATTTCAGTTCTGTAAATGAATGATATAGTTAAGAGTCATAGTAAAGATATATTATTGGTCACTAAGTTATTTTGGTGACAAATCTAATTGTCCCATTCCTTAATTTTTATTAGTGTTATCTAAGTAATTATTGTCATTTTTTTTTTTTTTTTTTTTTTGGTACCGGGGATCGAACTCAGGTCCTTGCGCTTGTGCAACAGGCGACGAAACCACTGAGCTAAATCCCCAGCCCATTATTGTCATTTTTAATAAACAAATAGTCTACAGAATCCCATATGTCTTTAGTGACTCAAAAACACCATACATTGGTATAGCCCAATGACTCAACCTGGAGAGCTTCTTCCCTCCCCTGGGGACTTGTGCTTGTCCCCAGTTGGGGGGGATGCAGTAATAACACCTGGTAGGTAGAGCCCATAGGTGCTGCAAAACATCCTCCAGTACCTCAGCAGACCCCCCACAGCAGAGAATTACTTGACTTTAAATGCCATCATGTGTGGCTAAAACTTTGGGGTACTCCGTAGCCATCTCTGACAGCATGTTCTTGTTAGTCCTCTGAATTGGATCAGGTATAGGAGCTGTTCCTATGGCAAGTGTCCTTTCCTCCCAGTGGGTTATGTTTCCATGGTCATGTCTTTTAAAGCAGACATCTAGGGGCACAAAAGGAATTTCGCACTGATTAGGTTCGGGGAATCCAAAAATGGGCATTTGACATGTTTTAGGCAGGAAATAAAAATAGAACTTTAGCTTTTAGATAAGTTTTGTGACTACATTTTAATTACATTGTAATGAACAATAGTATTAAAATTGTGCTTTGTTTTATTGTAATAAAAGTCTAGAAATCTTATTTGTTATTTGCATACAAACCAGTGTTCTTTGTGTTTTTCTTTGCTAACTGGCTTTGTGCAGCACTTGGAGTAATGATTATAAGACTTATGCAGAGAGGCCAGGTTTAGGCTACACCTTTATTTTATTTACATACATATGAAGTGGAAAATAAGTGATCACTAAGCAAAGGTCACATTCCTTGGCTTGCTTGGGTATATGAGGTAGATATAAAATTTTTGTGGTTTTGATTCAGGGAAAAACATCTGTTGAGTCTTTAACTGTTTTGTTGGTTTTTTTTGGGGGGGGGGTTGGTACTAGGGCTTGAATCCAAGGCCTTCCCACTGAACTACATCTCTAGCCCTTTTTATTTTTTATTTTGAGACAAGGTCTCACTAAGTGGCCCAGGCTGAGTTTGAATTTGTGATTCTCCCGCCTTAGCTTCCCAGAGTACTGGGAGTAGTAGTGTGCATCATCACGTAAGTCTATCTAGACTCAGTTGGCTGGGTCTCATTTTTGAGGGCTGTGCCAGGGGCCCTCCACATGGTAATGGAAGAAGCCGTAGGTTTCCTCAAATTCCAGCTTTAGTACCAGAGTTAGTTCCTGTTGTGTAGGTAGCTGGTCATTTTATTCACATTTCTGTGGGGATCATGTATTTTGTCCGGTATCTGTAATCTGATGCCAGCTGAGGAAGGGCACGTGTCATACTGGGGATAAGAGAACTGGCTAAAAGGAGAGAACCCAGATGGCACAACTGAGTCTCTCAGGAGGCTTTGTCGTCATCAGTTATAGGATAAATGATGTTAGCTTGACTGAGGGAGAAAGAATCCTGAGTGTTTACCCCTGTGGAAAGGTGTCTGTGTTTGTGCACTTTTACAGAAGGGATTGGTTTACATTTCTTTGCTTGGAGACATGATTCTGCCATTGTGTGCGGACCTTGGGCTTTGCATCAAGATACAGTTCCTGTGAAGTGTATGCTTGAGTCCCAAGTTCCATCCTAACTGTGTATGGAAAGAAATGCATGGGCATGTTAACAGCAATTTGAGTGAACTCTTGCATACTGTGGTAGATATATATATATGTGTATCTGTTTTCTTACTGACTGTAAGTCCTTAACATAGTATTTTAGAATTTGCTTTTAAAGACTAACAAGCTAAATGACTGATAGTATTAAATGCTTTTTTTCTTTCTTGTTGCATCTCTTAAATTTTTGTCAAAACCACTTGCTTTGTATTGTAATTTATTTCTCTACTATTAATGATCTATTCAATGACGCTCTTTTGTTTCTGACCTCTATTTCATCTACTACCTATATTTTAGCCGATTATAGTCCTCTGTGGTGATTCTCTATTATGGAGAATATAATTTTCCATGTGTTCCAGAAGCTGAGTAGTTTCTCATTTGCAGTTTTACTAATTCCATTCCAGGATGCACATGGCAGGGAGCTTGTTCCAGAAGAGACAGGGCAGCCCCAGGGGCTTTGGGGCTTCCTGTGTGGGGGGAGCAGTGTACTGAGATGTTCATGGGCACCTGTCTGCATTGGAAAACATTAGCTGGTAGGAAAAAGAAATCTGGAAATTAAAAACTGGAAAAGAAGAGCTAGTTCTGAGTTAGTCCTAAGAGACCAGGCTTCTAAACCTGCAGTCTACTTGGTGCTGCTTTTGAGTCGTGTGTCTTTATCGAGTGCCTTTAGGACTTCAGTTCATTGTTCAGCTTCCCAGAGAGATGTTGCATTTTAATCTTGCCTTCTAAATTATGAGGTCACTTGGAATGCAGTTAGTATTTCCTGAATTTCGTCCCCCGAATTGTTAATGAAATATTGAACTGTGCTGGACTGAGAGCCACCTCCCTCAGGGCCTTCTGAAGGCCGTGCTGGTTGACAGTGAATTATTCTTAACTACTCGGCATTTGATATTTGAGCCATTGTGCATGTAGATCCTTTGTAATTCAGCAGAATCTCTGCTTTTGTTGTTTTGCTTTGACAGGTAGAAATAATTAGAAGGGCCCCAAATTATACTGTACAGTGTTGTTTTTCTTTAATCTTCTTTCAGTAGTTGCCTGCCTTATCATTTGTGTGTTATTAAACTTGGTGTTAATACTAATCTTTCTTTGCCTTTAATATTGTTAACTTTTTGAGACTATATTATCTTAATTTGGTAGCTCTTATAGCTATGAAGGAGACTAATGACCGAGATTCTAAAAAAAATCAGATTCATAGGTATTTTTCTCTGGCATGACTTGAAAATACCCATATTCATCATTCTTTTCTTTAGGAATCGAAAGTGATATTTGGCTAGAAATTCACAGTTTGCTATGATGGGGTTAATAATTGTCTCCTTCAAGAATTCAGGATGATAATGAATGAATGAGTAAATAAATGTTGTATTGCAGGGAAGAAAAAATCCCAGGAAAATAAAAACAGAGGAAACAAACCCCAAGGCATACAGCTGAGGAGAAGTGAGCCAGATTCCACCCCTGCAAATATGAGAGATTCTGCAGAAGGTAAGCATGTGACTTTGGACTTTTGGGTATGTATTACCAGTTAATTTTGTGTCTCCTTGTCTTGCCTTTCTGAGAATGGTCCAAGAACTACATAAGGGAGGTACGTAGGGGGTTAAACAGCAAAAAAGCTGACTAAATTTCGTATGTTGAATTGAACTTTTCACATCCCACCTTCCCTTTATTAAATTATTAAAGAGCCTCCTTGTTAAAAAACGAAATTATTTTCTTGTTAAAATGAAACATACTGCATGATAGCATTTATAAAGAAAATAAAAGTTCAAAGCCATCAAAACAGATCTGTAGTGGTAAAAACCAGACTGGGAGGGAAATGAGGAGGTCTCTAAGATACTAGCCACGTCCCATTATTTATCCATGTGGTGGTTACCTGGAGATATTTACTTTGTAAAAATCTCATCTCGCTATATACTTTATGATTTGTCCACTTTAATGTGGATATTTCACACTTCAATAAAACATTTACTTAAAAATATCAAACACCTTTGATTATATGTAACAATAAAACATATTTTTTTTGCTAGAATTTAAATTCTTATTTTATCTTTTTGTGTTACTTGCCACAAGATTTTCTTCTTACATTCTGTCTGAGGATTAATATTCTAGGCCTTTCCTGATGGAAGACTTTGTAGAAAGGCAGGGGTTTGCAAGTTCATCAGGGAGACAGCTTGCTCTCTGATCACTGTGGTTGAGCCCACCATATTGAGACTATTGATGTAGAAACAAGGGAGATGTGTTTTCATTTGTTACAGCCAGATTTATTTCAAGACCAGAGCTTGCTCAAGAGTTATTCATAGTGGAGTTCGATCCCTGGTACCAAAAAAAAAAAAAGAGAGAGTTACTCATAGTGATGTGCAAACAGGCAAATTTCAGAATGCAAGCTTGTGACTCTGTCAAGAAACATTTGTAGGAGGGGGAAAAAAAAATCAAAACATTTAAGTGCCTTTTTTTAGCCATTTTATTAGCACTATTTGTGATGATGACATTCATAAAGAATTATAGTTTTCTGTGCCCTTTTATGGAGCAAGAACAATGGAATTGAGACTAAGGTGCAAACGCCTTGGTGGCCCAGGGAGTCAGGTGAGAAGTTGGTATGATTTAAGACAAAAGGAGTTGATTGGAGGGAGTTGAGATGATCTTCCCATTTTGGTCCCTAAAATTTGTATCAGTGAGAAATAAATACCTATTCTATTGAGGAGAAAAAAATAAATGAGTTGAGTTCATTTCCCAGATCCTTGTGAAGCTGAGTTCTGCTTCCTGATACCAAACATTTGAAGAACACAAAAATTACTAAAGGACTTGATTGCCTTTGGTGGCAAAAAAGAAAAGTAAATCCTTTTTTCAATAATGCAGGGCAGTTAACTTTTTCTGCTATACCATGATTTCCTATGAACAAAGAGGCTTGCTGCTGCCAGCCCATTTTTGGCTCTGCCACCCAGAGTGAGTAGGTTCTGTGTATGTATAGTGTTGTTGTTGGCCTCCCTAGATGTTCTGCATTGTCCTCAGCAACTGAACTATAAAAAGTGCAAACAGTTCAGGCTCTTTCTGGTGTTCCTCACACCCCTTTCTGTTTAAAACATAGCAGGCTACACTGTGTGTGTAGATAAACTTTCGTGTGAATTGATGGAATTATGAATTGATGGAATTGCGCACTTTTAGGTTCATAGTAACTTTGGCTAGTTTTAAATCTGAGATGGCTCACCAGTCGTAGGAAAGACTTTATTCCCTGCCTGTCATGTCTTTTTTTTCTTTTTTTTTATACCGGGGATTGAACTCAGGTCCTTGCACTTACACGGGAGACGGTGAAACCACAGAGCTAAATCCCTGGCCCCTCCCTGCACGTCATGTATTGTGACAGGAAATGCTTAAGAAAGAAATTTCTGAGCTTTAGAGGTAGATTTTCTGTTGCTTCATTTTGACTTTGTGGGTCTTTGTTGAAAATTTATTTGAAAAGAGAGCCTCTGATTTGAAATGCCTTACCACAATTGAATAACTGATTTCCCATCTTGTAGAACCCTCATGGAATTTATGAAATTTGTCTAGGGGAGAAAGCTGGTTTCCATTTAGAAGCAGGAAATGTGGTACCAGATGGGAAAAAGTAGGGCCAGTATTCCATTGCAAGAGGACCAGCACCAGGTAATTGAGCTTTGTAGTCACCGTATGTGTGTCAAGCTACCCACATTGGGGCTGCTTCAGTCCTTCCTATTCCTCATACCCCCAGGAGGTTCCCATATCTGTTAACAGCTTTTTGTATCTTGACAGTTGGGCCACTCCTTCCTGCTTCTCATGCTTCTTTCCATTCCCATCTTTTAGCCCATTTTGCCTGTCCTAACACCATGGTATCAGTCTTGGTCTACACATCCAGCTGTGTCCTTCTTCTGATCCCTAAATCTACCCTACAGCCAAATCTCACATATGGGACTCTTCTGCCATCTTCCCAACACTGTAATTGATGTCCAGTGCACCCAGATAAGTTCACACTCATTTACAATTTCCTGCACATTTGATTTCTCCCTGCAAGCTTTTCCTCTTCTGTCATTGATTCATGTACCCTTCAGGCTCAGCTTGCCTGTAAAGCCTTCTCTCATTATTAGTCCAGCCAAATTAGATGCACCTCCAGGGTGTCTGTATACTACACATACTTTACAGGATAGTTGCCTGTAGCTTTGTTTAAAATTTTATTGTACTGCATGCTTATAATTTACCCACATGTGTACAGATACAGCTGTAGATATGTGAAAAGTGAGAGAAGGATGGATTTCAGTAGTCTTGTTTACCTAGTGGTGCATATAGTGTGTGCATGTACATTACATATCTGTCAGGTGATTGGGGAAATACTCTATTCCATTCTCATCCCCATGTTTCCTTCCAAATACTGGCCCATTGTGTCTTTTCCTTTACAGAGAACCCTGAAAGAGTTGCTCCCCTTCTCTCTGTGTTCCTTCCATTATTTTATGAACTCCATTGAGCATTCTCACCATTGCGCTATAGTTGTTGTCAGGGTCACCAGGCCTCCTTGTAAATGGAGCATCCCATTCTTAGTTTTCATCTTACCCAGCCCACACTGGACTCAGCTGATCAGTAGTGTCTCCTTGAAACAGGTTACTTGGCCTGAGGGCTGCACTCTTCCTCTCCACATACCTCATTGGTCTTTGCTGACCGTCTCAGTACTGGAGTCACTGGGATCCAGTGCTCTCCTTCTCCCTGAGGTCTTGGACATTGCTAGACTTAGCCTTTCTGTTGAGCTCTAGGTTCATAAGAAACTATGTACTTAAAATCTTTATTTGGACATCTGCATTGTCTAGGGCCAGGGATTTAGCTCAGTGGTTCCACCGCCTGGCTTGCAGGAGCAAGGTCCCGAGTTTGATTCCCGGTACAAAAAAAAAACCCCCAAAACTTCAACACATCTGAAGTAAACTCTTGATTTCCCTCACAGCATTTGTGCACACAACCAAACCTACTGCTCCTACAGCCTTATGATTTAGTAAACAGGGTTATGGCCCTTTTGTGCGGTCCTTCTTAGCTCCTCCTCTCTATCACCACAGCCAGTCTGCAAGCAGTTTTTCAGATTTATTTCCAAAATACGTATCCAGAGGTGAACCGCTTCCTGTCAGCTCCCCCATCCCCACCACCTGTGTCACTATCCTGCCCTCCTGGAGCATGTAACAGGCTTGTATTGTCCACCTGTCTTGTCCACTTCGGGTTTTCCATCTTCCTAGTAGCAACTGTGCTTCTCTTGGATGCAAATTAAGTCATATCACTTGTCTGTTGGAACCTTTTGGTACCTCACTATTGACTCAGTAAAGGCCAACAGTCTACAAAGTGCCTGCTTACCTCTCTGGTCTCATCTTTGCCCTCTTTCCTTGTCTTCCCAACCCTCCCCCAGTCTACTGACTTCCTTGAACATTCCATGAATGTCTAGCTACAAGCTTATGTGTTTGGTGTTCAGAGGACTTCTCTTCATTAGATATTTTTGCACAGCTCATTTTTTTTAGGTCTCTTCCTAACTTTCACCTTTCTATGGAGTCCTTTCCCAGCCCCCGTATCCCATCTACACAAGATTGAGCAGGACATTTCCTTCAGTGAGATACTCCTAAGTTAATAATTTGATCTCTTCTTAGTCTCTTTGACCCGAAAAACTTCTCATTACATGATTCTAGAAAGTGTTTTACTTTCTCAAAGCATAGTTTAGTTTCAAAGGAGATTGATCCCCCATTCAAGATGCACAGTCAAGAATTTAACTTGGCGATAAATTTAATAATTTCTTTGTTTCAGTTTGGAATCATGAGAAACAGGAATTTACAGGTAGTCCCTTAAATTCAGCATCAGCGATTCCTGCACAATTGTAAGCACTGCAATTCTTCCAACACAACTATGAGCGCTACAACTTTTTTCATACCTTTTTTTTATGAGTACATATTTGTTACATAGATTAATGAGTTTTATTTTGGCAGGTTTATACATGCACATAACATAATTTAATCATTTGCACCCCTGTGTCAGCCTCTCGCCCCACACTCCCTGATAGTTTCACTTTGGGGGAGGATGATTTCAATGCATGTGATACATTTTGATCATATTCATTCCCAGGCTCTGCAGTTTCTTAAAGCTGTAGGTATGTGTGTCTAAACACAGAGAAGGATCTAAGTGCAGTATGGGAGTTCTTGTCTTTTGTATTTCCAAAATGCTGCCTGGTACAAAGGAAGTACTCTGTAAATATTTGTTGAATGAATGAATAAACAAATGAACAAAAGAAAGAAATGAATTCATAGCCAGTTTAATTTATAAATGATCTATATGAAGTGGAATTTATTTACTGGTAACTATACTTACCACATAACTTAGGTGGTGAGAGAAATATGTAGAATCACAGGAATTGATCGGAGAGTCTGGTTTTGACCTTACCTCTGTGTTTCCCTTCTTGTTCTTGTTCTTTCTAGGTCCTAAACAAGAAGAGAGGCCTTTGGCTGAAGCACCCGAGCAGCCAAGTGTTCCGCAGGAAGTGGTCAGCCAGGACGTGGTTCCACAGCTGCTGATCCCTCCTCCTGCCTGTGAGCCCCAGCCAGATCCAGAAGGGAAACAGGAAGCTGCAGACTGTGAGGCAAATGATCTGGAGGAAGAGGAAGAGGAAGAAGATGATGATGATGATGATGATGATGATGATGAGTTGGAAGAAGAAGGGGAGGAAGAAGCTGACATGCCAAATGAAAGTTCTGTCAAAGAGCCAGAAATACAATGCGATGAGAAGCCGGAGGATTTATTAGAAGAAACAAAAAGCATTTCAAATGAAACTCCTGAAGACTCTTCTGAAGTAACTCCAGTCATTAAGATCCCTGCAACTAAAGATGAGGCCAATGGTGAGGTATTTGAAACGTTTATGTTTCCATGTCAGCATTGTGAAAGGAAATTTAGCACCAAGCAGGGGCTGGAACGCCACATGCATATCCACATGTCTGCAGTCCATCATGCTTTCAAATGCAAGTATTGTGGGAAAGCATTTGGCACACAGATTAACCGGAGACGGCATGAGCGTCGCCACGAAGCAGGGCTAAAGCGAAAACCCAGTGCAACAGTGCAGCCATCCGAGGACCTAGCTGATGGCAAAGGTTCTGTGGAAAATGTTGGTCCTAAAAATGAATTGAAGCCTCCCCATCTTGGACAGTACTACCTGATCTCAAACTCAGAGAAAGCTTCTCAAGAAACAGCAAATCCTTCTGTTGTAGAAGAGAATGGAGAAGTGAAGGAACTTCATCCATGCAAATATTGCAAGAAGGTGTTTGGCACTCACACTAATATGAGACGGCATCAGCGCAGAGTTCATGAACGCCACCTGATTCCCAAAGGTGTCCGGCGGAAAGGTGGCCTCCTTAATGAGCCACAGCCTCCTGCAGAGCAGGCCCAGCCCACCCCAAATGTCTATGTACCAAGCACAGAGCCAGAGGAGGAAGGGGAAGCAGATGATGTGTACATCATGGACATTTCTAGCAATATCTCTGAAAACTTAAATTATTACATTGATGGCAAGATTCAAACCAACAACAACACTAGTAACTGTGATGTGATTGAAATGGAGTCTAATTCAGCAGACTTGTATGGTATAAATTGTCTACTCACTCCAGTTACAGTGGAAATTACTCAAAATATAAAGACCACACCAGTCCCTGTAACAGATGACCTTTCTAAAGAGCCTTCCAGCAGTACAAACTGTGAGTCCAAGAAACGGAGGACTGCAAGTCCACCTGTGCTCCCCAAAATTAAAGCTGAAACGGATTCTGACCCCACTGTACCCTCCTGTTCCTTAAGCCTGCCTCTTAGCATATCGACAACGGAGGCCGTGTCTTTCCCTAAAGAGAAGAGTGTTTATTTGTCATCAAAGCTCAAACAGCTTCTTCAAACCCAGGACAAGCTGGCACCTCCTGTAGGGATTTCAGCATCTGAAATCCCCAAGTTAGGTCCTGTGTGTGTGTCTGCACCTGCATCCATGTTAGCCATTACCTCGAGCAGGTTTAAGAGGCGGACCAGCTCTCCACCCAGTTCTCCGCAGCACAGCCCCGCCCTTCGAGACTTTGGGAAGCCGAGTGATGGGAAAGCTATGTGGTCAGACACAGTGCTCACTTCCAAGAAACCCAAGTTAGAACGTCATAGCGACTCGCCCTCCTGGAGCTTGTCTGGGAGAGAGGAAAGAGAAACTAGGACCCCTCCTTGCTTTGATGAATATAAAATATCAAAAGACTGGGTGACCAGCTCTACTTTCAGCAATGTGTGCAACCAACAACCACTGGATTTATCCAGCGGAGTCAAACAGAAGGCTGAGGGGGCAGGCAAGACTCCGGTCCAGTGGGAATCTGTATTAGATCTCAGTGTGCATAAAAAGCATTGTAGTGACTCCGAAGGCAAGGAATTCAAAGAAAATCATTCAGCTCAGCCAACCTGTAGCACTGTAAAGAAAAAGAAACCAACCACCTGCATGCTACAAAAGGTCCTTCTCAATGAATATAATGGCATCAATTTACCTGTAGAAAGTACTCTTGATGTGACCAGGAGCCCAAGCCCTTGTAAATCTCTAGATACCCATCCAGATTCTGACCTTGGTTCTGACTCTCACTTCTCTGCTCCTACTGCTGAGTCCCCCCCTGCAGTGTGTCCTTCATCACCCGCCTTGCAGACACCCTCCTTGTCGTCCAGTCAACTACCACCTTTCTTGATTCCCACAGATCCCCCGTCCCCTCTGGCATGCCCTCCTGTGTTAACTGTTGCCACTCCGCCCCCTCCCCTCCTCCCAACAGTCCCTCTTCCTGCCCCATGTGCCAGTGCTTCTCCTCAACACTGTCCCTCTCCACTCTCAAGTGCGACCGCCCAGTCTCCACTTCCAATTCTCTCCCCAACTGTGTCACCCTCACCCTCTCCTGCTCCTCCTGTGGAGCCGCTCTTGTCTGCTGCTTCACCTGGGCCTCCAACACTTTCTTCTTCCTCTTCCTCCTCCTCCTCTTCATTCTCTTCCTCATCCTCATCTCCTTCACCACCCCCTCTCTCGGCAGTGTCATCTGTGGTGTCCTCTGGTGATAATCTGGAGGCTTCTCTCCCTGCAATAACTTTTAAACAGGAGGAACTAGAGAATGAAAGCCTGAAGCCCCAGGAGGAGCCCCAGTCTGCAGTCGAGCAGGATATTATTCAGGAAACATTCAGCAAAAACTTTGTCTGCAATGTCTGTGAATCACCTTTTCTTTCCATTAAAGACCTAACCAAACATTTATCTGTTCATGCTGAGGAATGGCCCTTCAAATGTGAATTTTGTGTGCAGCTTTTTAAGGCTAAATCTGATCTGTCAGAACATCGTTTTTTGCTTCATGGAGTTGGGAATATCTTTGTGTGTTCCATTTGTAAAAAAGAATTTGCATTCTTGTGCAATTTGCAGCAACACCAGCGAGATCTGCACCCAGATGAGGTATGTACACACCATGAGTTTGAAAGCGGGACACTAAGGCCCCAGAACTTTACAGACCCGAGCAAGGCCCAGATGGAGCATATGCAGGGCTTGCCAGATGATCCTTTGGAAACTTCCAAAGAAGAGGAAGAATTGAACGATTCCTCTGAAGAGCTTTATACCACCATAAAAATAATGGCTTCTGGAATAAAGACAAAAGAGCCAGATGTTCGATTGGGTCTCAATCAGCATTACCCAAGCTTTAAACCACCTCCATTTCAGTATCACCACCGAAACCCCATGGGTATTGGTGTGACAGCCACAAATTTCACTACCCACAATATTCCACAGACTTTTACTACTGCCATTCGCTGCACAAAATGTGGGAAAGGTGTTGATAACATGCCTGAGTTGCACAAACATATCCTGGCGTGTGCTTCTGCGAGTGACAAGAAGAGGTATACCCCTAAGAAAAATCCAGTACCATTGAAACAAACCGTGCAACCCAAAAATGGAGTGGTGGTTTTGGACAACTCGGGGAAAAATGCCTTCAGACGAATGGGACAGCCCAAAAGACTGAACTTCAGTGTTGAGCTCAGCAAAATGTCACCAAATAAGCTCAAATTAAGTGCATTGAAGAAAAAAAATCAGCTTGTACAGAAAGCGATCCTTCAAAAAAACAAATCTGCAAAGCAGAAGGCCGACTTGAAAAATGCTTCTGAGTCGTCTCACATCTGCCCGTACTGTAACAGAGAGTTCACTTACATTGGGAGCCTGAATAAACATGCTGCTTTTAGTTGTCCCAAAAAGCCCCTTTCTCCTTCCAAAAGAAAGGTTTCTCATTCAGCCAAGAAAGGTGGATACATGTCACTTGCAAGTAGTGACAAAAACAGTAGCAACCACCGCAGACGGACAGCAGATGCGGAGATTAAGATGCAGAGCTCGCAGATGCCTTTGGGCAAGACCAGAGCTCGAAGCTCAGGCCCTGTTCAAGCCCCTTTGCCCTCCTCGTCCTTCAGGTCCAAGCAGAATGTCAAATTTGCAGCTTCAGTCAAATCCAAAAAGCCAAGTTCCTCCTCTTTAAGGAACTCTAGTCCTATACGAATGGCCAAAATAACTCATGTGGAAGGGAAAAACCCCAAAGTTGTGGCCAAGAATCATTCTGCTCAGCTCTCAAGCAAAACTTCCCGGAGCCTGCATGTGAGAGTACAGAAAAGCAAAGCTGTTTTACAAAACAAGTCCACTTTGGCGAGTAAGAAAAGAACAGACCGGTTCAGTGTAAAATCTAGAGAACGGAGTGGGGGCCCAATCACCCGAAGCCTTCAGCTGGCAGCTGCTGCGGACCCAAATGAAAGCAGAAGAGAAGACAGCAGTGCCAAGCAGGAGCTGAAGGACATCAGGTAAGCTCAGAGGTTGGGGTGGGCCAAGGACTGTGGAGAAGACCGTAGGCTTGCCTGCAGGTGTTTTTGAGTTTTTTAAAATTTTGTTTTGTTTTCCTGTAAAATTTTGACGAGCATTTAAAAGAAATAATAGCTTTTGGGTAAATAGTAGGTATGAAAGGGGGTCACTGGTTTGGCAGCCATAGAAAATGAACAAATAGCTTTTATTCCAGACTTAGGTCTCAAACTGGTACCATTTTCTTTAATAGGGCCAGGTGTGAATTAGATTTGAAGCCATGGAAAAACTCTCACAAATACCCCATGTGGAAAGATGATGTTCTCTCAAACTTCCCTCATCTCTTGGGCAATATCTCAGTGTCTTTAGTAGATGACTTCTGAGGTTAAGATGGATCATGGACACATTAGCAAACCACCTTGCAATCTTGTTCAGTGTTTCTGTGACTTAAACATAGCTATTAGTAACAGGGACTGCTTTTATTTTCATGCCAGCATTTGAATTTTAAAACTGCCACATTGGTCAAAACAGAATACCTTATTTCTTAGAAATGCCTTGTGTTATATATTAATTACTCCCTTCCTCTGCCTCCAGCCCCAGAGAGGTCAGCAAACCAGGTTCCAGATGGGAAGAAGATCAGGGAGGGTACGCGGAGCTACAGGGAGGCTCCTGTGAGGTTCTCTCAGGCATGTGTGGTACCCAGGGCAGGTCAGCCTCGTGTGTTAGTGCCTCTGCCCCAGTAGTGATACGAGGACTCATTAGATTTGGCGACCTTGCGGAGTCACTTACCTGACTTGATGTGCATTCTCAGGATTCCTGCTGTTTCCTGATACTGCCTATGGGTCAGTCTCGTGACTATAAATACTTTTAAATCTTGTTTTATCAGAGTATGAAGCCTGACCTGGCTCTGGGCTTTCATGGGTATGGTTTTCAGTGCCTTGAATTTCTTTGGTGTTTAAGCAACAAGAATTAGGGATAACTATGGAGCAACTACTGTTTGGAGAGGTCATGAGGACACAAACGTGCCACTGTCACTGTCATTGATGAGGTAGATTAAATTGTAGCTGAAGAAAGATGTAGAGCTGGGCACAGTGGCACATGCATGTAATCCCAGCACTTGGAGGCTGAGGCAGGAGGATCACTGAGAGCTCAAGGTTAGCCTGTACTACATAGCAAGATCCTGTCTCATAAAACTGGGGGAAAAAGAGAGAGATGTAGAGAATAGTATTAGCCAGGGCTGATTTGAATGGCTTACTGTAGAATTACAGGATCATATTTTTTAAAAAGCTACTTCATAAATATGTTAATTCATTTGCTATAGATCTGATCAGTGCATAGTCTCTGGCCCTGGCACATGCTTTGAGAACCTCCTAGGGGTTAGACCTGTTGAGAATAAGCCTGCCTACCTAGCAGCTCACTTATGTACCTGCATGTGCTCAACTGGTATCCGCAGGTTCCACACCAGCAAGATATCATGGAGCTGTGTCTTCAAGTTGCTATGTCTTAACCAGAATATGCCACCATTTTCACAGATTGTACTAAAAATCACCTTCCTGGTGGCTGATACTTTAGAAAGAACGCTCTGTCTAACCTTTTTTGCCTCTGATGTTATCTAAAAGAATCACTTGTTTTGTACTTGACCCCACTTACACAACTTAAGGGTAAAATTCATATGAAAAAATTTTAGGTACTGTAAAGCAGAGCTGAAAAACTATGGATTTAAGAAATCCATTCATTTAACCTCTTACCCAGTACTTTCAAGAGCCCTTAAACCTACCAAGTGCTGAAGTGCCTAAATAAGAGTGTCTTTCTTCTTTGCTCCAGTTAATTTTAGTTATTTTTCTTTGTTTGATAGTTAACAGAGGGTTACATTATTGCCATGAAATTTATCCCAAAAGGAAGCACAGGAGAATCGGATGAGAAAACACTGGTGTGGTCCCGACTGTTAGATGGTAGCAGCAGGCATCCCTGGTGGCTCTGCCTCCCTTTTGTGAGCTGCTGGAAATGTGCTGTGGACACATCTGTAGTGCCAGGGGTATTATCCAGGATGTGGAAATGTGTTAGGTCCCCATTCCCTCGTGAAGCGTTGAGAATTAGAAAAGAAAGGCTGGGGATTTAGCTCAGTGGTTCCGCTGCCTGCCTCACAAGCACAAGGTTCTGAGTTCAATCCCCAGTACAAAAAAAAAAAGAAAAGATCCAACAGGACCCCGTATTTTGACTTTGGACACAAGAGTGGGCGTTTATTTCATCAGAGTTCGTTTTGGTCTTAGTACAAAGCCAGGGTTCCTAAGCTGAGACCCAGGGCATGTGTAAGACTATCAGCATTAACATCTTGCCAAGGCTGTTCCAGAGGGGGCCTCGTCTTCATGTGTTGTTTGTAGTATTTTGTGGATAAGGAGTCACTTTACTTGCAGTTGGCTTCCCATTTCAGTTTATTTCTTCTTGGGAATTTGTTCAGAGATGATTTTATGAGAAATAACTTGTTTTCACTCTAGTTTCAGGTGGTTTTCCTCTGCTTTCCCTGTTGTGTACTGAGGGTCTTGTCATAGAACTGACAGCATGTCTTTTTCCCACTTCTTTACAACAGTGTTTTCAGCTGATCCTCAGCACTCAGGGTTTTACATTTGAAATCTAGCTTAGGATTTCAGAAGTACTGCCATGAGACTGTAGCACCAATTTCCTGTTTAACACTGAGAGCTTAGCAGTTTATCAGTTGGCCACTTCTAGAGCACCAGCCATTGTGTCATTCAGGGTGTGAAAAAGCCATGTGCCCCACAGAGTCCCTTTCTTAGGACAAAGCAGCAAGGGAATGCAGGCATGCCACCATGCTCAGCTTCTCATCCAGCTGTTACTGCCATGATCCTCCCTGAGTTAGCAGTCATAGCCTTCCTGAGGTTTCTTGGTGCTGAATTTAAATCTGGTATGAAGGTTCATTTCCACAGCTCCAGTGAGACCCTTGTAGTCCCAAGGTATTTTCACATTCTCAGTGCTCTTCGAAGAGCACAGTTTTTTGTTTTTATACTGAGCTCCCATTGCAGCCAGTCTAGAAAACTGAAGCAGAGAGGGCCCCCTAGGATTTAGCTCAGTGGCACACCTGCCTCGCAAGCACAAGGTCCTGAGTTCAATCTCCAGTACCGGGGGAAAAAAAGGAATACTCTGTAGAAAACTTAAACAGAGAGAAGCAGAATGAAATGCCAGACCAGGTTGTCCCATTTTCCATGAACTGAGAAAGAATTGCTCTCCCTGACCCCATGTCAGCTGCACACTCGGAAAGGTCCCTGCTGGCAGTTCTCCCAGAGCCTGTCTTTGGGATAGGACGCCCGAGTTCCTAAATAGCTTCAGAGTCATTTGTATGTTGCTGTCTTTTTAACATTTGTCTTATGGTCCCTCACCTCTTTTCTTTAACATGGTCAGTTCATGCAAGGTTATGTTATGTTGTCATTTATCTTCAGTTTTCTTATTTTCTAGGAACTTCCTGTAGAAAAGTCCCCCAAACAAAACAGACCTTAATTGACTAAAAGATATTGATTGCATGCTCAACTTAGGATAAGCACTACGGCAAAGGATACGAAATCTACCAAGCTTGCAAGACCAGTTGAAGCTGACTCAAAAGTTGTAACATACAGCTGATTGCCTGCAGGCTTCTTGTTGCCCTGGTTAGAGTCAGGCATCCACTCCTTCGCTGACGCCCACACCCGTGCTGGGCTCCTGGGTGATTGACATCCAGAGAAAAGGGCACTGTCAGTCCGGCTAGATGACTGGCTCCTCGTCACGGGACTGGGAACTCAGGTCTGAGTGGCCCTTATCTTTGGCACATAGCAGAGAAGGGAATGATTTGATCATAACCTTGCAAAAGCAAGTTCTCTGTTATATCAGTTTATTGTAGATTTCAGGGAGACAGATTCAGATGCACTCATTTAAAAACATTTGGTCATACACCAGCTCTTGATGCTTTTCTTTTAAATGAACCATAGACGGAGAGAGGCGTTTGGCTGATCTCTTAACCCCTTCCCCGCTTTTTAAATCACAAGCAGATTGCCAGCATAATGGAGAGGAAACCAGATTGGATATGGACTCTTTTTATGCCTCTTCCAGTGTCATGTTTATACATCCAAATGGATATTATCCTCTCAGATTATTATCTGGCACTAATTTGTAACTATTATATTATGAGACTATGTAGCAATATGTCAAAGCACAGGATTCCAGGCCTGTGTAGGTGTGTGTCTCCGTGTAAGTATGAATGAATTTACTTACCAAGTTTTACACTTCAGTCTCTGATAGAGATTAAAACAAATTAGCTTCTTCCTATGTCTGAGAATCATTTCTCCATGCATTTTATGCCTCCCTCTAAATTAATGAGTTGGTGGAAAATGGCTAGGTTCTTTTCATACGGTTTTTTGTTCTCAACTTTAAAAGTAATCTACCTCTTAAAATCTGTAGTTTAATACTTGTTTGGTGAATTTGTGCCACTTTAACCCTTTCACTATCATTCCCATTTTGTTACATTTCTGTTATGGGGACTTTATGTTGAAATACTGTATAAAGCATTTGTAGCAGTTTAAAAATAAAATATTTAAAATTATTTAAATTGTTTTGGACGCTTCAATTGTATTATATGTGATCTACGTTTTACTTTTTTGTTTGCATTGTTAATCTGGAGCGTGTTCCTGTATTGAAGTTTGCTGTTAGTTTTATTCTTGTTGGAGAGTACTATAAAAGACTTATAATGAAAACATTAAAATTTACAATTTGACATACAAAAGGGGTTGTTTCTTAATTTTAACTACCATAGCCTTGAAAGGGAGAGAGAGAGACTGAGTTATTGACAGACAAGATGGTGTTTGCTTCTGCTCCCCTTTTAGCATCAAGCACATCACTGGCTGGTCAGATGTATAAAAGTTTTTTTTAATGCTGTTACTGCAAACAATAATTAGGGGAGAATCTGAATGGTACATTTTACCTAATTGTAACCAATAAAAACTTTCTGAACACTTGTGGAAGGACTGCATTTTGTATATAATTGGGAACCAGAGTGGGGAGATGAAAGGTGAAAGCGGTGGAGGACAGTTGTTTGATGACAAGAGTGTCGTGTGGTCAGCCCGTGGGCCTCTTCTCACCTTCCTCTGCTTGGCATTGCCAGGACATCTGCTCATGGCAGCCGTTATACCCTGTCTAGGGTGGCACGTAGTTGGACAGTGGTGCCAAAACCTTGTGAACTTACTTTGCTAAGACTGAAATAAAGGATTTCATAACTGGGATCTAAGCACGAAACAAGTTGTAACATTTGTGTTAAAGATTCTTCAGAGTGCTGGGGTTTTTTTTGTTTGTTTTGGTACTGGGGATCGAACTGGGGTCCTTGCACTTGCAGTGCTTTTTTTTTAAGATTAAAAGTGGTTGAGTGTAAGCAGTTTCCGGTAGTCCAGCACTCACTGTCCTTCTTCCTCTGGTTAGGGTGGGGCAGGCTGACTGACTTGCCCACGTGCTGCGTTCACATTTCTGGTCTACCGTGATCATGTGTTAGAGAAACTTGAGAAAGGCTGATGGGAGTTTGGAAATGGCTTCAGTGTTAATGTTAAACACGCTGTACTAAAATGAGTGCCGAACAGGCAGCAGTGTCTGTGGCCGAGGTGGATGTTGTGAGATAGAAAGCACTTGCTTGGAGGCAGACCTGTGTTTCTTCCTTGGCCCTATGCTTGCCATTCATCTGCTCCCCATGCCTTCAGAGTAAACAGGCATATCACAAGTGCCCTCTAAGTCCTCTGCTCTGTTGAGTTAGCCTTGGGCAAGTGCTTCTGCATTCTGGATCTACTGCAAAGGAAAGTCCACATAAGTGTGAGGTAGACATTCTGTTTTAGGGGATATGGGTGCTGTGAGATACCCACTCTAGACCAAATGTGGGCTGAGTCTCTTGCTCTTCACTCAGAGCCCTGGAACACAGCTTTTACTGAATGGAAGAGTCTTCAAGAAGTTGTTCAGTATCTGCCTTATCAGGAAGGAGTGGCTCCATTTTGGCTGCTTTGGCTTTTTGTAGGGTTATACTTTTTAAAAATAAAAGTCGGGCCCAGGATTTAGCTTAGTGGTTTCACCGCCTGCTATGCAAGCACCAAGACCCAAGTTCGATCCCCGGTGCCAATAAATAAATAAATAAATAAAAACTAAAAAGTTAACTCAAGTCTTCTGTCCCTCATCTCACTGTTTCCCCTCATAAATCCCTGTCTGGGCTGCCCGTTTTAGCTTGGTTGCTGTAACTGCTTTCTAGCAGATAATTGGTAGTCAACTTAGTTTATTGAGAATTTAGTATATGCCAGACTGTGTCTTGGATCCTTAGGATACATAGACAAAACTCTTGAGGCCTATGAGCTTATTGTTTACCTAGTGGCCCTTTCCCCTGTCGTTTACATCATATTGAAGCCTCCTGACTTTGTTACAATTCCTCGACGCTAGCACAGATACTTCTAGCTTCATGTTTGAGGGCTGACATCTAGGTGCTGCAGGCCTTCAATACTTTCACTTAAGTGCCTAGTAAAATTACAGTTCCTTTAATACATTTGGTGTTGAAGTGTTCTTTGAATCAAGTGAGTTATATTCACAAAAAAATTAATAAGAGAGCAATTTACATTAAAAATAGGTTAGCGCACAGATAGGTGTAAAGAGCAACATGGACTTGAAGGCCATGTTGCAGATGCAGTGAGGCCAAGGCTATTAGGGAGATGGTCTTTTGCTCTCTGTTCATTTTTCCAGGCCCAGCAGCCTGTGTCCCTTCCTCCCCGGTAGTGCTGATCTTGTGGATGCTGCTTTGGGATCTGATGTCTCAGAATGTTTTACTGAAATGTTCTTGAGAGTGGATTTGAGTCACATGAAAATGGGAGCCGCAAGCCCTGACTTGCAGTCCAGTGCTTTTGCATTCACTTGGAAAACTTACGTGCCTGTGCAGGCCCTGCGGCCAGTCGTTCGTAGACTGTTGAGAAGGGGGAGAAGCACCGCTGAGTAGCCTGGACTTTAAAGGCTCTGCATAATTTCAGTGCACACTTAGAAACTTCTGAATTTATATTTGAAAAATTAAACTGTAGCTCTTAATTTCTGTAGCACACGTGCGTTCTCCTCTGAGCCTCACAGCGCCTCTCATAATAATCCTTATTATCACCCTGCAAAGTAGGCACCGTTTTTATTCCTGTTAGCCAGAGGCTGTGGGGTTGTTGGGGTGAGGAGCTGGGACTGTTCTGCAGCCACTCCGGAGTCCTGGGTTCAAATGTATGCGCTGAGGGAAGGTTGAGTGGAGACAGGTGGCGCCCCCTTGTGCAGTCTCTGTCATGTGTTCATTCCAAAATGGCCCATTGGGCTCCTTTCTGGTGCCTTGACCTTCCTGCCACAGAGCTTGCCTTGTAAACAAGACCATAAGTTTACAGTGCTGTGGGATAAAAATAATAGAAATGAGATCCAGATTGGTGGGGAAGATGACATCCATGCTACCATTAAAATCCCAGATAAATTTAAACGATCAGTGTAAAAACATTTGTTTTCGAACAGAACAAAATTGGGTATCTGTGAGTGTGAAGGAAGTGCAGAATGCACCCTGGTTGATTTGAGGCGGTGCTGCAGGCCCTACTACCCCATGTTTAGTACTCGCCACTACCTGCCCTGGTTCACATCTTGTCCACTGCCCACCTTTGTGCTGTTTCCTCTTGCGTGGGCATCAGAAAGGATCTGATGAGCTTTAGGGGGAATTCAGTGAGGCTTTTGAATGCTTGGTATATGCTAGGACGCTGTGCTAAGTAAGCATTGTAGAACTTGAGTCTTGTTGATCATCGCACCATGAGGCTGGCATCATTTGCAGGCAGGGACCAGACTGGAGGGAAGTGGTTTGTCCAGAAGGCACAAGACTCAAAGAAATTGGGATTTGAGAAGGAGCTGTTGCCAGGCTGACTCCCATCCAGTTTCACTCCTGATGGTGGAATATGCCTCTGCCCCTGGCCCAGACCAAGCAGTCAGGTCCTTTTCACTAGCTTTATAGAGCCATACACTACATCTTCACTCTTCCACAGAAACCACGCTGAGTACTGTCATGCTTTTTTTTTTTTTTTTTTTGATACTGAGGATCAAACTCAGGACCTTATGCTTTCGAGGCAGGCGGGGTGCCACTGAGCCAAATTCCCGGCCCTGTCATGCTCTTGAAAATGATTCTAAAGAAGGCTCCATCCAGAGTCTCCTCAGATACCACCACAGAACCTTGAACTGCTGGCATTAATCTGAAAAGAGTTAATCTCGGCTCACCTCCCTATCTCAGCAAATAGTGTGTTATTTGCAAAACAAAATCTGCTGGTGGTAAATTATTTTCAAGTACAGGATTAGGGCCTGGAGGGTTCGTGTAAGACTTCATTTACTTTCTGGATTAAGAATAAGAATTGGAAAAACTATTAGGACTTTGCACTGAATTACTTGCTGTGGTTGTAGAAATTACATTCAATCATGAGCCGCTAAATGGGGCTTGGAAATACTTTTATTAGAGTAAATTTGTTGATCTGTTGCAGTAATAGGATTTGCACATGCTTGCATTTTCTGCCTAACTTGCGCCAGCTGGATTTCTTTCCAGCTCTTTCTGATAGTGATACAGAATGCAGGCGGATATTGCAGAGAACATAAACATTTTATGGAAGACATTAGTGCCTAAATGTGCCTTCCCATGTCCAGTCAACACACCATGGCAGGAAGCCACATTTCTAAATGCCCTTGGGTGTTACCTGAGTTTCATAGTGAGTGGAGCGAGGGCTGGAATGTTGCTTTGGTAATGACCAAATCTGCAGGACTTTGAAGGAACAGGTTTATGTTCTCAACAGGAACACCTTTAAGAACATTTCCATATCAGTCTTTAGACAGGAACCTACTGTATAACCTGGAATTCTACTTAACTGCTTAATTTTAGCATTAATTCTAAATGTAAATTTTAAACAGGATTCATTTAAAAAAGACCTGGAATTTACTGCACGGGTAAGTTATACAGTTTTGGCAATTTTAATTTTTAACCTAAAAACAATTTCAACTCAAAGCAGTTCGGTTTGTTAGTATTTAATTTTGCCAAAATGTATTTTAATATTTTTTATTGGAATGAAGTTATTTAAAACTCATATGGAGTCAGTTTGCCTTGCAGTAACATTCCCTTCTCACTTTATTTTTATAATCACATCCAATCCTTGCCAACCCAGCTAGAGGGCAGGAACGTTTTCAGATGGCTTCTATTTCCAAGCTATTATTGGACTTGTGAATTCAGGCACATTCTCCTATAGCAATTAAGAAAACATCTTCATATGGTCAATCTGGATCATCACAGTGTCATTGTGTGTGTCTCATGTCCTGTTCCTTGGGGCTAGAGAGCAACCCTATATACTGGGACTTTGAGAGGCCCCTTAGGATTTAGGAGACCTTGTGGAGGGAGTTGAGGCTGTAGTCTGGTTCGTAATGAGGCTTTGCTCTGAGTACATCACGTGACTTAGTTCATTTTGAGCTCTTCCCAACCTAAGGCACCTACTGTTCTCATTTACAGGTAAGCCCATTAAGTCAGAGAGGGGTGACATCACTTGAATTATGTCCCACAGATGTAAGTAGAGACCCTCACAACCAAATGCTGATCGCAGGGTTACTGCATTGTGATATGAAACCATCCATTTGGGTTTTAGAGTGCCTCCAATCCAGGCTGATGCTGATGTTGTCACCTAGAAGGGGTGGCTTTGTTGCTGAGTGGCTGGCTGTACAGTGTAGTGGGAATAAGAACTGACTTTGAACTCCCCCCTGATCTGGGATTTTGTTCCCTTTGTAACAGGCTGAACCTGAGCTTCCTGGTCCAAGTGGAGTTATGCTTCACTTCCCATTGTACAAGTGTTGAACGATGTGGCATGTGTTCCTAGGGAAGACTCTGGTGACGTTTGTAATAACAGACCTCAAAGTGCCACTGCTTACCTGCCAGGGCTTAATAACCTGCTGCAGTTGAGAGGGGGAGATG